GACTGTAAGTTGGCATGTGAAGCAAGGCCTATATTTTACAATTCCTCATTCAAAGAGGGTATTACTGAATGTGAACTCCAAGTCCCATTGGATGCTTTAACTATATAGTAAAAGGATTAGTATGATCTTTAGTATTTTGAGAAAAACATTTATACTCAGTAAGAACTAGTATTTTCAAGAGTAGAAACTTACTTACCTTGAGGAAACAGGGCTAGAAAAATCATAGAATGTATACATTTTCTGTGCCTCCTTAATAATAAATACTTGAAGGTGACATTAAGGAATTGGTTTATATTAAAGTTTAGAAAACCACCATCACAATGTTAAGGAAAAAAGAAAACCATATTTTCATAGTAACCTCTGTTTTTAAATGTACAGGATTTTTCAAAATCCCAGACTGGTGACCTGAGCCACTGATTAGACATGATTTAAAAATCCTGGAAAGTAAAAAAAAAAAAAAAAAAATCTTGGAAAGCCTAAGGCTAATACATTTTATGCCCTGTTTTGCACTGAGCAAGTCTGGTGCTGTTGACCTCCTGCAGGTGAGTGTGGCTGCTAGTCTCATGCCAGGTGAAGTAAGAGTTGCCCCTGTTTCTGCAGCCACCAGGCCCACACAACGGGAGGGCACGTAACCATGTGACCACCAGAAGCAGGAAACTTCACCAACCACATCCTCTTCAGAGCTGTCAGGAGTAGTAAAGTTTCCTAACAAGGAAGCAAGTTTCTTGCAGTTCAGAGATTATTGTTCTGGGACTACCCATTTGAATCTACCAGGCTAATCCTCTAAAGACAAGCTGATGCATTTCCACACCCTTTCAGCCTTGACTGATTCCACCCTCCTAGAATCAGTGGATGAGAGACGAGCAAATAATTCGTTTTTATTATTAGAGGATCCTTTTAGGGGTAAAAAACTAAAATTCTGCAATTTGTTAGAAAAGTTCTTACATTATAAGGCAAAATCTAGATGAATTCGAATAGTTTTAAATATTGGTTATTTATGCTTAAGTAAAAGAATAGGAGGAGGAATAGAAGAGGTCAATTCAAATAGGTGAACATTAGGCTGGGTGCGGTAGCTCATGCCTATAACCCCCAATACATTTGGAGGCCAAGACCAGCGTGGCAGTAATATCTCGTCTGTACAGAAATTTTTTTTAAAATTAGTCAAGTGTGATAGTGCTTACATACCTAGAGTCCTGGCTACTTGGGTGGCTGAGGTGGCAGGGTCACTTGAGCCCAGGAGTCGAAGGCTGCAGTAAACTATAATCGCAACACTGCACTACAGCCTTGGTGACAGAGCAAGACCCCTTCTCTAAAAATGAAAATAAAAGGGTAGACATTAAATACTCTAATTATGTTTCTTGTTTTGTGTTTTAAACAAACTGCCTGGGATGGATAAAAAGGGTTAATGCAGAAAGGTTATACAAAATGCCAAGAAAAATGCCTGAAATCTTTAAATGTCTTTACTCAAAGGCCGGGCACAGTGGCTCACACCTGTAATCCCAGCACTTTGGGAGGCCAAGGTGGGCAGATCGGTTGAGGTCAGGAGTTCAAGACCAGCCTGGCCAACATGGCAAAACCCTCTATCTACAAAAATTAGCTAGATATGGTGGCGCAAACCTGTAATTCCAGCTACTCAGGAGGCTGAGGCAGGAGAATCACTGGAACCCCAGAGGCCAAAGTTATAGTGAGCCAAGATTGTGCCACTCCACCTTGGGCAACAGAGTGAGACTCCATCTCAAAAATAATAAGAGGAATACAGATATGAGGCCAGGTACAATGGTTTTTGCCAGTAATCCTGGCACTTTGGGAGACCATGGCAGGTTGGATCAATTGAGGTCAGAAGCTCAAGACCAGCCTGGCCAACATGGCAAACCCCGTCTCTATGAGAAAATACCAATATTAGCCAGGCGTGGTGGTGCACACCTGTAGTCCCAGCTACTTGGGAGGCTGAGGCAGGAGAATCGCTTGAACCTGGGAGGTAGAGGTTGCCGTGAGCTGAGATCCGGCCACTGCACTCCGGCCTTGGCAATAAGTGAGACTTTGTCTCAAAAAAAAAAAAAAAAAAAAATACACACACACACAGATACGATTTTTTAAATATGAGAAATATAATTCTGACAATCATAGGGATATGTCCAGACATTCATGAATGTGAAGCTAATTGGGCAGACATGAGGCTTTCCTTCTCTTGATACCTCATTTTTCACAAACAGTATTGTTATTGTACCATTTAGGTTACAAATCAACAACCAACCAGGTACTCAGCTCCCTCACTAGCCTCCAAATGCAACATCCAGACCTGTGCCACAACCAAATTACTACATTAAATCTTCACATAGGGCCACATACCTGTAGTCTAGCTACTCAGGAAGCTGAGGTGAGAGGATCACTTGAGCCCAGGAGGTAGAGGCTGTGGTAAGCTGTGTTCATGCCACTACACTCTAGCCTATATATTGTATTTTTTTATACACACACACAAGAAAAGAATGGATAAAAACCATGAAGGAAAAGAATCTGGGGGACAAAATGAGACCCACCCTTTCTAAAAAAAAAAAAAAAAAAAAATCTAGGCTGGGCATGGTGGCTCACGCCTGTAATGCAAGCACATTGCAGGCCAAGGCTGGTGGATCACCTGAGGTCGGGAGTTCAAGACCAGCCTGACCAACACAGTGAACCCTCATCTTAAAAAAAAAAAATCTAAAATGACAGCTAAGCTAATTAACATCATAATGGTGAATTAGTTTACTTTTTTGTTTATATTTGTAGAGATGGGGGTCTCACCATGTTGCCCAGGCTGGTCTCGAACTCCCAGGCTCAAGCCATCCTCCCACCTCAGCCTCCCAAAGTGTTGGGATTACAGCCACCATAAATTAGAAGGTAGAAGCTCCAAGATGGCTTCTAACTCCATTTATTTTACATTCTGGAAAATCCAGCTAATACAATAAGAAATGAAATTAAGAGGTATTGCAATGGAGATAGAATTATAATTGCTATTTAGATTGTTTATCTAAAAATAAGAAAATGACCTAATAAAGTGTTAGTCTTCATTGGGACAGGCCCTGTTTTAGATACAATATCCTTTAAACTGGTTTAACATTTATAATTTGCTTGTCTACAGTTCCAAAATTCAGGAAGTTCTTAAACTCACTTGGCAGCAAATCTGGCCTATACTGATGTAAAGCTTTTTATACTCTCTTTATCTCACTTTATTTCTGCAGAAAGATGAATGTACTTAAGTATAGGGTGCTGGCCCAGACTCCAGTGGTAGAGTCATGGAATATATGGTTTAGGCATCAGATCATCTTTCTAAAATCCAAAATACATTCTATTCCAAAACGCATCTGGACCAGGTGAAGTGGCTCACACCTGTAATCTTAGCACTTTGGGAGGCGAGGTGGGCAGACTGCCTGAGCTCAGGAGTTCGAGACCAGCCTGGGCAACATAGCAAAAACCCATCTCTATTAAAAATACACACACAAAAAATAGCTAAGCATGTTGGCACATGCCTGTACTTCCAGCTACTCAGGTGGCTGAGGCACCAGAATTGCTTGCCCCCCGGGAGGCAGAGGTTGCAGTGAGCCAAGATTGCACCACTGCACTCCAGCCTAGGAGACAAAGTAAAACTGTCTTAAAAAAAAATAGAAGAACCTGGCCCCATGCCTTTTGGGTAAAGAATAATAGACTTATACTATTATCCCCTGTTGCAGGTAAAAACAAACAAACAACAACAAAAACCGAGTCCAAGTTATTGGGCCAGGATCAGTGTGACAAGACTAGAACACACAACAGTCTGACTTCCAAATGCATCTCTGTCAGGACATTAGATGAACTCTACAATCACTTTTTCTCAGATTGGCCCCTCCCCAGCCATCCCAGTAATGTCTAAAAAGTAAATATTTTCCTATATTACCAGGAATAAATGTTTAGAAAATTATATAAGTATGGCACAATAGCAACAAAACATGAATAGGGGTCGGGTGCGATGGCTCATGCCTGTAATCCCAGCAGTTTGGGGGGCCAAGGCAGGCGGATCACAAGGTCAAGAGATCCAGACCATCCTGGCCAACGTGGTAGAAACCATGTCTCTACTAAAAATACAAAAATCAGCCGGGTGTGGTGGCGTGTGCCTGTAGTCCTAGCTACTCGGGAGGCTGAGACAGGAGAATCGCCTGAACCTGGGAGGTGGAGGTTGCAGTGAGCCAAGATCGTGCTACTGCACTCCAGACTGGCAACAGAACGAAACTCCATCTCAAAAAAAAAAAAGAAAGAAAAAATATATAAATGGGAATAGAAATAGTCCTAACTGGAACTATTGACCCATGTGGGGAAAGTAAACAACTTGACTGTGAGACCGCCTGTTGCTAGATCGAAGTGCTATTGTAAAGTTAGTTCTCTTCCAAACTAATGTGTAGACTTAGTTATTCTAGTCAAAATACTAAAAAAAAAAAAAAAATTTTAACTTAGAATTGCCAAGCAACAGACCTTAGCATATGTAAGAATTTAATATATGATAAAATTAGCACCACAAATCAACGGGAAAATAATTCTAGGGAAAAAATAACTATGTAGGAAAAAATATTCCTCGTCTTCCATCTTACATCAAAATGAAATCTAGGTGGTTTAGCAAGGTAATTAAAAAATATATATTTTAAAAGAGAGCTAGAAGAAGGAAAAAGAGACAGAAAATAAAACAGGTGAAAAACAGATCTCCATGTGGTAATCCACTTCCTTTTTTTTTTAAAGTATACAGACATATATGTTTTAAAGTTTATTTTTTAAAGCTTTTAAAGGAAAAGCCGACCCCTCCCTCCTCCCGGAGTGGGCGGCCCCTCCCCTCTCTGAGTGGGCGGAGACAGCAGTTTCTTGGGCAGCTTCCCGCATGACACCACTGGTCCTGTGGTCCCTTTCATCTTTCTGATTGACCAATGGGCTTGGAGCATTAAGGCCACGCCCCCTATTTATGTTCTAGTGGGGCCCTGGTTACGCCTCCCTGGCTCAGTCACACAGCTGCCTGGTAGGTGACTGGAGCTGTTTACCAGTGCTTGCCTGATTTTGCTGATGTGACCCCAACCCCGCCTCCCTCCCCACCCCGCGATATCAACGTCCACAAAGTCTCGAGATAGCCAATTGGCAGAGCCAAAAAAAAAGGTAAGACGTACCAGGTCATGGCCCCCCAACCCAGCCACAGATCCCCTCCGATGGCAAGACTGCTGCCAGAGTCCATACCACTCCTGAGGCACACGGGACTGGGCCCCCCAACCTTGGAGCCTCTGAGCTCCCCCCACCAAAGTCTTGTCAGTCCAACCCATCCTTTCAGCAAGCAGCCCCGTCCCTGCCATCGCCAATCACCCCAGAGTGACTTTGGGCGGGTGACTCCTGGGACTCCCCACTCCATACGTGGCCCTTGCTTCCTGCCTCCCCAGGATCAACCTCCCTGGGCTCCTTGGGCTTGTGTCTCCAAGGACGTGGGTCCCCCAGCCCTAGGCCCCACCCTCACCAGTCATCCCTGGGTGACTTTGGGCTGGTGACTCCTGGGGCTCCCTGCTGCAGACTCTGCGCTCCCCTCCTGCTTCTCCAACCTCAACCTTCCAGGGCTATTTCAGCTGGCCTCTCCAAAGACCTGGGTCCCAACCCTGTGTTTCCCTCCCCATCATGGAGCAGCAACTCTGGCGTGGCACTGATGTGGTCCCCTCCCCCTGGAGTAGAATGTAATGATGTCACCATCCCTCTACGAACTGTCATTACTGTTGCAAGACCTGGCTTTGATCTTATGACCCAGTCCCCTAAGGGTTCTCATCCCATTTCTGGTTCCTCTTGTCACAGAACACATTTCCAGCTGGCAGGGGAGTGGAGACTATGGGACCTAAGAGCAAGAGCTTTCAGGCTGCCTCACTCCCTTAACATAGACATTGACAGTGTGAGAAGCCTACACTTCCCCTGTGAGCTCAAAATGTTAACAGTTTCTCTGGGTGGCAATGGAAGAATGGGTTTGGCTTTGTTTTCTTCCAGGCTTCTGCTCTCCAGAGAGACTTTAACATTTTGCTCTGAGTTCTCCACCTCATATTCGAATTCTCCATAGTTCTGGGACCAACTGCCCTTCAGTCAGTGGTCTCTGGAATGAGATCTCCTCATCTTCTACTGAATAGATCTTGGGAAACAACTTGACAGCTTGAATCTTCCTCATATCATCTCAACCTGGGGTACTTCTGAGTGCCACAGGAAAACTGTGGGATATCTTTCTGAAGTATCAGTTTCTCTTGAGTCTCTTGAGAAAGGAAAAAACAATAATGTACTTAGGGAGGACAGTCACATGGGTTTCTAAGAGTATACCCGACTTCTCTCTGAAATGAGGCTTGGGCTGTCATCTTGCTGAGAAATACCCAGATTTAACAGAAACGCTGCCTTCTGCCATGACGACACATCGATATAAAAGTGTGAGCAGTACTGGCGCACTTCTAACACCAACAGATGTGTGAAGGTGTATGACTGTAAAACATACAGTGTACAGGTCCTGCTACTTAATGTTGAGTTTTTCTACCTCTGCCTCTGGTTTTGGTCCCTGGAAGCTGCTGATTCATGGGAAAATCCCAGAGCTTGGAGTCAGAAGACTGAGTTTAAGTTCCAGTATTGCCTTTTTTTTTCTTTTTGCCATATCAGTCCCTCTCAGTCTCTGATTGCGACAACACCTTGTACAGTTGTTGGTGGCATTAAATCAGATGGTGTATAAGAGTGTATTGTAAAAACTGTAAAGGGGGATGTGGCTGTTGGGGCTGGTGGTTCTCATGAGTATTACTGCTCTTCTTTCCCACAGTTAAAAGAATATCAGATGAGGAAGAGATCTGGTGTTGACGAAGGAGCGAAAAGAAAATTGAACAAAAAGGCCAGTAGCCCTGAGTCAGCCGCCTATGGTGGTTGCCAGTCACCTGGGGATGTGAGTCTTGGCCAGCCAGTCTCCTGGGGATGGGGGGAGAGGGGATGCCCAAGGGGCAGTGGAGGGTAATTGCTAAGATTGTGGATGGACTGTCAGGTACTGGTTAAGAATTCTGGGTTTGAATCCTGCCTCTCCATCTGCTAGGGATACGATTTAGGCAAGTTTCTTGAGCTCTTTGGGCCTCTCTTTTCACATCTGTAAAATACAAGCGGCATTGTTTGAATTCTATTTGTGAAGTTTAAGTGAGATTTGTGATTGTCAGTGTTTTTATGTTAATCTCCAGTACATGGCCTGCTGTAAAGAGCCAGGACACCCAGGAAATGGTCGTTGCTGTTTGATTTTCCTCATCCTCAGTCTCAAGGGGAAGCCAGGCCAATGAGAACAGCCACTTCCCATCAGCCTGTCCCTTCAGCAGTCACTGAAAGAGCCCCAGAGTGGGAGGGTGGGGAGATAAGAACCACGAGAAAAGCTGGCACAAAGGGGTTATGGGACAAAGGGTCCGAGATAGGCAGAACAGAAAATTTTGCCAGTTGATGGGAAAGAAAGGAAGTCAGAGGTCTTAGACACTGAGGGGGACAGAACATTTCCATGCACACTTTCATCTCTTGTAGTCAGAAATGGGTATGCACACAGAGGGCCCTGTGTCATGTACTGCTGCGAAAGATATGGAGGTAAGAGGCCCTGCGCCGAGGTGCAGTGACCCTGCAGGCCAGCCCTCCAGCCTCCTTCCACAGCGGGGGCTGGGTGCCCTTCTGCCAGCTGAGACAGCCCCCATACACCATAGCCCTAATGATTGTTCTCTCTACCTCCCCCAAGTTCTCCTCCAACTCCTCATCTCTGCATGCACCTCGGAGGCACTACCAAGAAACAGCAGTAACCCTGGACTTTAGCTCCAGAACAATCTGTCAACTGAATGACACCATTCAGTTATTGGTAAGAGTCCACTGGGGTCTCCTGATTCCACACTGCCAATCCTGGGCTCCAGTTTCCCCTTGGGGCCCTTAAAAAGGGGCTGCGGGACCGTGGTGCCAAGGGTAAGTGGGGAGCTGGGGCACCCAGGCCTCACCTGGAGGGACCCAGAACAGGGACATGCAGCATGGCTCTTCTGCTGCTGCCCTCTTTGCCGACTCTCTCTTCTCCAGACACCCCTGCTCAGGTCCTTGCCACACATGCCCTGGGGCTGTCACCTGACTAGTGGTCAGGGGCCCTGTATTCCTGCTGTGACTCAGTCCCTAATTTGCTATTTGACTCTGAACAAGCCGCCTTTCCTCCTCGGGCTCCTGTTTCCACAGGAGGTCAAGAGTCTCAGAGGTCTCTGTTAGCTCTGAGAGTCTGAGGTTTAAAGGCCCCTTAGAATGGAAACCTCAGGGCCAAGGGCTCCTGTCCTTTTCTGTCCCACATCTCTGCTGTGAAGAACTGTACCTGGCCCATATTTGCTCAGTAAACATCTATTGAATGAATAGTTTTCTAAATCACAAGCTGACAGAAGGGGGCCCTTTCTCAGACTTCATCTCTAGAGGTTTATGTCACTGTCCTTTCGAGAGAATCCCGATTCAGACTTTGAGTTCTGTGGCTGTGGGCAAAAGCCAACAAAGACTCTCTGTCCTTGGGAGCTTCAGGAGAGTTGACCAGTTTGTGTTCCCATTGGGTCTGAGAAATGTGCCTTCAAAATCCATTCCTGGCCCCTGTCTACCACTTCCTGGTGTGGAGAATAGAGTGGAGGGGCCACCCTCGGTCACCTTGACTCTTCCCACAGAAACAACAGAAGGAAGGCCTGGAACAACAGCTGAGAGAAGTAACGTGATTTGTTTGCCCGTGACATGACTGTGGGGTTTGGGGGGCACTCAGATGTAGAGATGCCAGTCTCATCTCACCCACTCCCAGCCTGGGGAAGAAGGCTTGCCCCTCAGATTCCACCCCATCCCCACAGGGTCCCTGATAACCTGGTCCCATGGGTGGATCTGTCCTGGGGCATTGGTGACATTCCTGGGGCATGTCTCTTGTGCCATCTCTGCCGCCCCCTGCTAAGAGCTCTGTCTTCCTCTTCCTATAGGAAAAGAAAATGCAAAGGGAGCAGTTAGAGGTGAGTGGAGGGAGAAGTGTTCTCCTGTCCTTCGGAGAATGCTTCTTTCCTTCTCTTTCAGCACTTGCTTGGCTTTTCTACCAAAGGGTCACATCCAGACAATCAACATCCTCACGTCTGAGAATGGGCGGTTGAAAACTGCCCTATACCACATGGGCCGTGCCGCCAGGCACTTTGAAGGTGAGAATCTGGGCACCCCATTATCCTTCAACCTGGCACTTTGACAGGTCTTTAGTGGGAGTCCTTAGGGCCCCATCTCAATCTCTCTCATTCCAGAAGAGTCGAGTAAATTGGCCGGCTGCCTGCAGAAGGCCTTGCAGCAGAGAGAGGAGTTGGAGCGAACTCTCTCTGCTGTCTCCTCCCAGCAGGACAAGGCGGACAGGGTGAGTCCAACCACCTGCCCCATCCCCTGGCAGCCTGGCTTCCCAGATGGAGGAGTGAACCTAAAGGTGCCTTCTGCAGGATGGAGTGTCTGCCTAGAAGGCAGCATGGCCATTTCTCACTGCTTTTGTATGCGGTTGTTAGAGGCAGCCTGGGGACAAGTCAGCTGCTGTTGGTGAGTTAGGGGGCACTGTCAGGAGTGAGCACTGGATGCAGAGCTCCGAGGCTAAGTGCCTGCCCCGTCCTTGGCGAAGTCCTCAGCGGGAAATTGGGTACTTGTACTGTGAAGGTACAAAAGAGTGCCTTTAGTATGTTACCATTTGTGTAGAGAGAGGAAACGTGTGTGTGTGTGTGTGTCTGTGTGTGTGTGTGTGTGTGTACTATAATATACATAAAACGTGTCTGCAAGGGCTCAAAAAAAACTCAGGAGAAAGCAACCGGGTGATTGGGAGGTACTTCCTTACTGTACCTTCTGAGTTTTAGACTATGTGAATGTATCATTTTTTCAAAAACTGAACAAAAGATTAACTTCCCCCTTGCTATCTGTGCTTCCAGGCCCAGCAAGAAAAATGGGCTTAGAGCATCAGCTACATCTGGGTGTTCAAATCCCAGCTGTCTCAGTGATCTTATGCAAGCACTTAACCTCTAATACTCCATGTTTTCCATCTACGCAATAGAAGTAATCATAGCAACTGTCTCATATGGTGGTGGTGAGGATCAAATGGGATAGTGAGCACAGCACCTGGTAAAGCTCAGTAAAGGTTCAAACAGTGGTAGTCATAAGAGTAATACCAAGAGCAGTATGATGTCATCTCTCTGAGCCTGCGTTAGCCAGCTGTCACTTGGATCTCTTTCCCCGTCCATTCCAACTTTTCTAAGTGCTTTTCAAAACCAGACCACGGGCTTGGACATGCCCTTATGTTTACTGACCGAGTTGTATATTGAGCCTAGCCCCAGCCCTTTGAAGGGGTATTGTGTGGAATGGCCCAGGCTCCCCTGATCGAAACTTCTCACTCTTCACCATCCAGTCCTCACCCCACTGTGAAGCAGTCCTCGAACGGCAGTTACAGCACTCCAGAAAGGAGCTGGCACTGCTAAAAGCACACATGACACAGGTGGGGCTTTGCAGAGGGAGGGATGTGGAAGGAAGATGACCCCAGGTGGCCATGAGCAGGTGAGGACCAGTGACAGCTCTTCCTAACTTCTGTGTTCATTTTGACAGATGACGGCATCACTTCACCAGGTGCAGCTCGAGAGAGATGAGTGTTGTCAACATCTTAAAGGAGAGAGGTTCCGGTGGCAGCAGGGGATGCGGAAAATATCACAGGAGGTGAGACCTGACCCTTCAGACCCCGAATTAAGATAGGTCACTGGATCTTTCTGGGCGTCTGTGAAATAGGAATTGCACAGCCAGAGGTGACCATGAGTCTGGGCTTTGTGGAGGTGGGGCAGAGAGGGTGTCCAGCCACCAGCCCCTCTCTTCAGGGCCCTTTCCCCCGTGCTTTGGGCAGGTTCTCACACTGAAGCTTGAGAAGAGGCAGGATGCACATCACATGCAGGAGCTGGAAAGGAGCCTTGCCCACCTCAGGAACCAGCTGGGTAAGATGTGACTGGCGTGACCTGGGAGCAGGACTGGCACCAGAGGGCTGTGGGGGTGGTTTGGAATGTCCTAGGGAGGTGGGTGGATGGAAGGGCTTTGAGACAGAGGAAAAGAGGTCTGTGCTGGGAGATGACAAGTCCTGTAATCTCCATAAGCCTCAGTGTCTCTGTCAACAAAGAGGGAGGAGAGCCCGTTGTCAGCCACCCACAGTGCTCTCTATCTGAAAGTGGCTTGGAAGTCTGCTACCACCGGGTGCAAAGAATCGTCAGCAGTGAGGCCAAGTTTAGGGAGCGTGAAAGCTGTGCACCAAAAGGAGGGTTTTTTGTTTTTTTCTTTAGAAGCCAGAGGACCTTATATTCTGCTTCCTTTTTCAGCTGAAGCCCCAGGTACAGAGCCCCCAGTAGGGCCCTTGGTGGCAGAACAACAGCTAAAATTTGAGACCAACCTTCTGAGGAAAAATCTGGAGAGTTTGACAGAGCAGCTGCAAGCTCAGGTGAAAAACAATGAGAACTTGAATCGCCTGAGCTCTGAGCAGAAAAAAAGGCTGCGGCAGCAGGAGGAGTCTTTGCAAGAGCAGAAAGAGAGGATGCGGCTGCAGGAGGAGGAGCTGGTGCGCTGACCCACCTGGGGAGCCTGTTCTTCGAGCCCTCAATGTGTTTGTTTCCCCACCTGTAAAATGGGGGAATGTAGCCCTCATGTGAAATGGTACTTCTAAAGGCACCTGTGAACCAGAGTCCTGCTCTGATGGCTGTGGGAGAAAGGGGATGATTTTTCTAACCTGTCTCTACCCTTCCCGGTGCCTTGGGAGGCAGACACCGAGTTCTGGGGTCTCTAGCTGCAGTGGGTGTCCACTGATTGCTTCTCTCTGTCCAGAACAATGAGAAAAAGAACACACTGCAGTTGGTACAGCAAATAAAGGAGCTGCAGGAGAAGCTGCACAACCAGAAGATGACGGTAACCTCTGCCCCATCCAAGAAGGGCTGGGAGGCAGGCAGCAGCCTCTAAGTAGGGGAGGGGCAAAGCCAAAGGCAGCTCCAGCCTGAGGGCAGGTGACCCCAGCACCCTTCAGGACAGTCCTGTCACTGTTTCTTGCTTTCTGCCCTCTTTTAGAGGTGGGTGGCCCTGGGCTCCTCCCAGGTCTACACATTTTCATCCCAGCTAGAGGCATGGAACCCCCCAATCACAGGAAAAGAGGCAGTGGTGTAAGAGGCTCCTTATGCTAGGCATGGTGGCACATGCCTGTAATCCCAGCTACTCAGTAGGCTGAGGCACAAAATCGCTTGAGCCCAGGAGGAGAAGGTTGCAGTGAGCTGAGATTGCACCACTGCCCTCCAGAGTGTCCAGAGTGATACTCTGTCTCAAAACAAAACACAAAAGAGGCTTCTTAGATTCAAGCTGGATTCCGGCGTTGGTTCCGCTGGTCACCACTGACCTTCTTTGCATCTCTAAGTCTCTGTTTCTTTCATTTCAAAAGGAAGTTAGTGTTTTCCTTGTGGAGATGCTGAGGATTAAACATGATAATATGTGAAAAGCATTAGGCATGTAGCACACTTAGCACATGGTGGTTGGCTCCCTCTGCTTTTCCACCAGTCTGTGGCCTACAGTTTCACTGGTGGGAAGGAGGACATGAGATTTGAGGCTGGGGAAGGAGGGACGGGATTCTAGGCAACGGAGGCAGTCTCTTGGGCCTGGAGCCAGGGGCCTGGTCACAGCCCCATAGTGCCCTGGCTACCCTATGAATGGACCCAAATCTGGGAGCCAGCCACCACACACTGTCACACCCAGGGTCTTCCTGCAGGTAGAGCTGAAAAGCCAAGAGGCTCAGAGTCTGCAGCAGCAGTGAGACCAGTACCCGGGCAGCAGTATGTGGCCACCTATCAGCAGCTGACCTCTGAGAAGGAGGCACTGCCCAGGCAGTTACTGCTACAGACCCAGCTCATGAACCAGCTGCGGCAGCAGGAAGCTCGGGGCAAAGCAGTAGCCGAGATGGCCAGCCAAAAGTTGCAGGAGACCCAGGGGAGGGAGTTTCTGAGGATGGGGCCCCGAGGGGAATGACGTGGCAACCTCTGTGTCTTCTCACTTCCTTTCCTGGCCCCTTAGGAGCACCTGGAAGCTGCCACCCAGGAGAACCAGCAGCCACAGGACCAGCTGGGCCTCACGACTCTTCCTGGGGAAGGTATGGGAAACCACTCAGAGGAAGAGGAGAGAGCCCCAAGAGGAAGGGGGACTGTTAGCAGCACAGGATTGAGGCGTTGGAAGAGACCTTTAGAACAGCTGGTCATTATGCTGACCAGGTGTCTGCACTAAGTTCGGCATCAATATGGTGACCACCTGGAAGTGGGTGGGGGCCACCAGGTTGCCTAAGGAAGGGTGAACTGGCCCAGATCAGAAAGGGAGCGGGTCAGAACTCCACACCGATTGGTAGTGGGACTGTGCCTGGAAAGTACAGCAAGATCTCGGTTCTTAAAAGTAAAAAAAGAACAGTAGCTCATTCCTCTGTGGGGAGGGGCTGGCTCAGGGTTACACGGTGAGGGTGGAGGCAGAGGTGGGCCCACAGAAGTACCTCCCTTGTTGGGTTGTGTGCGGACCCCTCTGGCCACACCCCACAGGAGATGGAGGAGGACATCTGGACAGTGAGGAGGAGGAGGAGCCTCGGCCCAGCATTGCAGAGGCCCTGGAGAGCCGAGAGGCCATGGTGAGCCTGACTCCCCCTGCCCCTCCTTTGCCACCTTCCTCTGTGGTCCCTCCCAGACCTTCTTATGCTCTTGGTTTCTTCACCTTCTGATTTCTCTGGACACTCACCTCTTCTGGGAGCCAGTGCTCAGACACCATTTCACCTGTGACCGACAGTGCTCTGAGGCCCCAAGGGTTGGGGCTGCATTCTGCCTCCCTGCCCGTTTGTTCTGTGTTTGCCCCTACAAGAATGTTCACCTCTTGTGATCAGGTTGCATTTTTCAACTCGGCTGGGGCCAGTGCCCAGGAGGAGCAGGAACAACTGTGTATGCAGCCTCAGGAACGAAGGGTGTGCTACCAGCACCTGGCTCACCCGGTGGCCTCGGTGCAGGAGCCAGCGGCGGTGGCCCCAGCCCCAGCCCAGGCCTCAGGGACTGAGAGTCAGTCTGTGTGTGTGGAGACCAATCAGGAGGCACTGCAGGGAGCCATAGAGAAGCTGCAGGTGAGTCCTGGCATAGGCCAAGAAAGGTGGGGGCAGGGCAGGTCACTGCTGAGATGTGACCCCATTATTTTTACTTCAGAGCGGCTTTATGACCCTCCGAAAGGAGGAGGTGGACCTGAAGGAGCGGGTAGAGAAACTAGAGCTTCTATTCATCAGGCTCTCTGAAGAGACAGACACGATGAGTGAGCGGGAGGCCAGGGCACGGCACGGGGAGCTGCAGGGTGGTCAGAGGGTCCCCAGTGTCTGAGCCTGTCTGTGAGCCCTGTCCTTTCGCAGGAAAGGACATCAAATCATATGAGCAGCAGAAGGCAGTCCCAAAACCCTGGCACCAGGAGGAGGTGGAAAAGCGGGAGATAAAGGTAAGGCGAGCAGCATCTCTGCGGGGGTGAGGGGGTTGGGAGTGGGCATGAGTGTGGGTGCTGGGACCAGCGTGGCAGCTGAGCACCCCTCTCTCCAGCTGGAGCAGCAGGAGCCGGTGTTTCCAATTCTGGGTGACAACGAGGGCCATGCCACATTCCTGGCCACGGCCAAGAATCACGTTGATGAGCCCGCTCCGGGGACCCCAGCCCCCCAGGAGCTTGAGACTGTCAACAAGCAGGGCGGTGAGTGGAGCCCTCAGGTGGGGTGGGCAGGCAGGAGCAGGGGAAATTCACCCTGAGCTGAGATCCCCACCTCCCTCTCTCCAAAGATCTTTGTGAGGTGAGTCTGGCAGACAGCATGGAGCCTGCAAGAGATGCCAGGGAGGGTTCTCCCCAGGGCAACCCCACTGTAGGAAACATCGAGCAGCCGGTTTGTGAAAGGAAGACTTTCCAGGAGCACCCAGGCTTGGGCAGCAACCCCTACGTGCCATTCTTTTACCAGGCTGCCAAGAACAGGGAGATCAGCATCACCATCTTCTAAGAGCTGGGCAAGAATTTTTTTTTTTTTTTTTTAACTAGGCAAAGAAAGTTATTAACCTTGGTTTCAAACTTGATTCCCAGTTTTCTTCGGCTTAATTAGCTGCAAACAATGAATTGTGTATAAGCAAAAAACTGAAAAGAGCTGCAGTGTCCAAGGGGCTTGGACTTAAAAATATTAGAGATCTAGATTTTATCAGATCCATAAACAAAAAATTCTTAAAAAGCAGTCATAATATAAAATAGCAGCTCCCAGTAACTTCTTCAAGAAATGTAAAAACCAAAACAAAGTTATGGGGTTAATCTACACAATTCATTAACTTTATTTGGCCGTTAGAGCCACTCATGCTTATTTGTGTTTCTCATTTATAAACTTATTTGTAAAAAGTTAAGGTAGAGTGGGTCTCTGTGTGGCTTTCTCTGATATTCACTCTGGCATCCTTTAGCGTTTTTCTGGCTTGGTAAGTGGAGGTCAATAGCAGACATATCGAGTTCGGCCTTACGTGGTGGGAGTTCAAACACACAAAGACCCACTCTTTGCACCAAACTCTTTTTGCTGGTTTGGAATAGGATGCCATGCTTTTTCAATGTTACTGCGGCATGTATACTTACTACGGAATTCAGATACAATTTATGTTCTGCTGTCATAGTTGATCGCATCCTAATCACAGTGAGCTCTTAGTCAGCTCAATATGTGGTTTGCCCTCAAGTGTGCAGTTTGTTACTTTGTAAGATGCCACTATGAGTGCTGACATTTAGAGTTGCTGAAAGGCCGAGAACTGGAAACAGCCTTTCCCCTGTTTTCAGTGTCTTTGGGATGGGAGTAATAACATTTTGCGGAGCTTTTTAAATCTCACAGAAGAAAGTGGCTGCTCTGGCAGGTATGTGTAGAATAACAGAGTAAGCGTTATTGGTTCCCAAGCCAAGAATGAGCACTGTACTATGGTAGTTCCCTTAGGATTTTTCTGTGCTCTGGGCTCATGAAGATATTGCATCAGGAGCTGCAGCAGCTGTACTCATTTTCAATGACCTAAAAAGGGATGATTTCTGAGGAATCAAAGGCTCCTATCGTTGACTGTAGATGTGAAAAACCTTTCCTAGAGTATTTATATCTATAATACATTTTAAAGTCAGAGTTCATGTTACCCGTTTTAACCACATAACCACATGTCCCAGTACACAAAAGGGCTCTGGTTTGCATTCTTAATGTACTTAATAAAGATCATAAATCCTTTAAGAGATGGGGATGGTCTAGTAAGTAGTGATCTTCCGTACCTTCCCCAGGGAGAGTTACTAGACCATCTAGTAACTTTAAGAGTTTAAATGTCCCTGAAACAGGCATGCAAGTTTTTGTCAAGAATGAATTAGAGTAAAGGAAAGCTGAGTGACATCTGGCATTCCTCTGTGTTCATGAAGCTTCTTTGAGGCTAGAAGATTGATTTGACCATCCAGACTTCTCTGGCTAATACCTATTCTTCAAGTAACCACATTGGTTACTCTGACACAGGAATTGACTTCTTTTTCGTGAATAAAAAACACTTCAAAAAGAATCACAGACATTATTATAAACTAATATACGTGAGATTACTTGGTTGAAACAAAAAGGAGTTTCAGAAGACAGTATACTATATTTGAACGTCAAGGAGAAGTTTATGGACTTAAAATGTTTGCAATCTACTGTTTGTGAACGTCAGACTCTTATCAGGAAAAGTGTCTATGCAACCACAGAGTTCTGTCTCCTCACCAAATTCTTTACAAAGAGTGAAGTATGTTTTTATATCTCTTGGTTTCAGTTAGAGGCACATTTTGTGCAATATTTATGGTAATGTGCCTATACCTCATGAATTATTTCAGTCATACATGGCCTAACTCATAACTTTATGATGCTTGAGAAATAATCAACAGTGAAAACTTCATGAAATTCTAATGTCTTTGTTCCAGAATAAGTCCCACAATTAGAATGGAGGGAGATATGTATGTGTGCTCCCTGGGTGGGGATTTCTAGTTACTAGGCCATCTCCATTTTTAGCATTTGGCCTCCTCATGATACTTTTATAAATATGACATTAATAACAGAGCAATAATATGATTGTACAGATGGAATAACAGATTTCCCTGCATTCACTGAAAGAGTGCAAATATTGGGTCCTGGTGACGTCAACTGACTCTTCCAAATTGTATGAATTTAACCATGTATCAGAGAAACACAATTTCAGAATTATCAAGAAAAAATGTTAGACCAAATAATGTGGCTAATGAACAGCGGTACAGCTTCTAGCCTGAGGTTTAAAATGGACTTAAAAGTACTGTCTTTAAACTGAACTTGAAGAATGCAAAAGCGTCAAGTTCAGGAAAAAAAGGGCAAGAACAGAACTTTACGTCCATTTTGAAATCTCGGGCCAGAAATCATACCACTCTTAATTAGCCATATTATTTGGTGGGGGCCAGGGACCTGCCTTCAGTCACAGACTAGCAGCTCTGATGGCACCTGGGAGGGAGGGAAGGAAGCCGTGTGTCCTGCCTGGCCTGTGAGGTGTGTTGTGGGATGACTGTGTGTATAGCACTCTCCAGCTTTTACCCGAGATCACCACTGGATTATTACCAGCAGATAGAGGAGATGGGACCCTGACTATCACCTGTTCTGCAGTGGATCTGGCTCTCGGCACTCCTAGGCTGGGAGCTGGATGCCCTGCACTGGCAGCATGACTCAATGCACAACAGGCATCCAGAGGCCCAGCATGACGTTCCTAGGCCTCTGGCCCCCTTAGAGTCCAGCCCCCTCCAAGCTCCCAGCCCCAACACCATAAACCATGAGCTCTCTGCCCACTGTGATGGCCAAGGAGAGCACCCACATCTGCCAGCTTGAGCATGTAGCCTGTTCCAAGAGCCCCAGGCTCAGCCACGGAGGCCTTGGGCAGTGGCACTGAGTCCCGAGGCTCACAAAGAAGGGAGGTGAGAGAGACAGTGGCATGAGGACAGAAAAAGGAAGAAGCCTGCAGCTCCAGAAGGCAGGGGCGGGGAGCCTGGCTCTTAGGTCTCAGGTTTGCCCCCTGTGTGGAGCTGGTGCAGTGGGGCAGGCACACCATTCATACAGCAGGCGGTGAAGCTTGTGCCTACCATGGCTGACGCTCCTCAGAGGTCACTGATAGTGACGACAGCATGAAAAGACAGCATGAAACCAACATGGCAGCTCCCACGCATGGGTGGGGCAGGCCTGGAGGGTACACATGCAAACATCCAGGTGTGCACACATGCACTGTGAGGCCCCATGGCCCGCATGCACACACTAACACACATGCCCACAAACACCACAAACAACACACCTCCTTCCCCTCCACCTCCCAATGCCCAGCACCCTCACTGGCCAGCACATGCAACACAGGTCTGGGGCGTGCAGCTACTCGGCATGCTGAAGCACACGCGTGGGCAGAGTTACAATACAGAAGCACACCTGCACACAGAGGCATTTGCACCAGCTGACTGCCCATGTGTGCCTGGCATGCTCAAAGGACCACCCATGCTGCTCATGGAGACAGGACTTGCTCGCTAATGTCCAGCTGTCATTTCTCCACCTGCAAGCCTTCCATGGCTCCCTACTACCTACAGGATAGAACCCCAACAAGTCAAACTCTGGACTTTGAAGGTTCACCCTAGACCTCACCCTCCCCATAGAGCTCTTCCTCATTCTGTCTCTGTTCCCTGCTTTGGCCAGTGGCTGTCCTCCATGTGGCCCACACTACACCTCTGCCCACATTGCAGCTCTTTACCCAGATACCCTCCAATTCCTCACCATGTAAGCCTATCTCAGTCATGCCCCAGACCACAGAGAAGTCAGGCTGCCTTGAAGAAACTCTCCCAGACTGCTCTTTTCCCCAAGGCAGGGTCATGATTTGTGAAACATTTCACGGGTGTTACCAAGATTAGAGTTGGGGCAGGCATCAAACCTTACATCCCATATGTCACACCTCACCATAGACCTGGGTGCCCAAAACTCTGAAGAGTCTGAACTCACGTTGGCAGTTGGCAAAGTGCTCCTATGGCCACATCTGCTGTTAACACAGCATCCCTATGGCCACTGTCTCCCTTGATCTTCATAACCACCCTGGGAGAAAGGCAGAACATCATCATTTGATAGAAGAGATGCTGAGGCTCTGGGAGGGAAAGGGATTTGCTTAAAGGCCCAGGGTGAGGCAGCATCTCTGGACTCCCAGTGCAGTGCTCTTGCCCAATACCATGCTGCTTGCCTCTACCCATCTATGTTGGACATCAGCACATCCTAGGGCAAGCCCAATCCCTCCCTTATTTTGGTTATATGGGCACTGGACCCACAGCCCCACCCTCCAGCCAATGGAAGATGCCATTGTTCTTCCATAGAGAATGTGGCCAGTGGAAACAGGGCACACTGGGAATCAGAGTGAACATCCTTGAAAGAGGGCCATGGGTCAACAGGGCCAAGCCAAAGGGTGCAGTAGAACGCCTTTCCTTAGAAATCTTTGGGAGTGAAGAAGGCTTCAGCTGCTCCCATCTCTGCCCCTGCAGCCACCCCTACCACATCGGTGTAGACCAGGTAGGGTGGGCCAGGGCGGTGAGGTGCAGGAAAAAAATCAGTTTGCCTACGGCCCCCAGGCTCCTTCCCCAGCTGCTTCTGTTCCAGCCCGGGACTGGTGTCATTTTTACACTCTCACACTCGTGTGCACACACACACATCACATACCTTGTTGGTCACACAGTCACAGCCTGCCCTCTGCGCCTGTGGGCCAGTGGCAGAAAGCCACTGGGATGGCTCAAAGGAGTCAGGACTTGGAAATGCAGACATCAGGGTAGCTGAAAGAAATCCACACACCCAGAGCAGACTGGGGTTCAGACTCTCAGGCCTGAGGAAGGCTCCCTGAGGACAGAATGGAGGATGGAGGACAGCAAGAAGAAGAAAGGAGGAGGAATGCAGCCAGCGCTCGATGACAGGTCCCGCCAGCCTTGTGACTTGATTTCTAAGCCTGTTTCTTTCTCTGCAAAACAGCGGGGAAATCCAACAGGGATGTTGTAAGACAGATTCCAAACTAGACTTCAGGTTGAATCCAACAATAAAGACATGTTACATTTGGTCCATAGTGTTTTAAAAAATTTTAATGCTACATTTAAAAGTCAGATTCATCAAAATAGAGACAACCAGTTTATGGGAAAGTCAAAAGATCCACCAACTCTGGCCACACACTTTTTCTTGGCAACAATCAGCTAGTGACCACTTCTTTCAGAGAGGCATCTACTCTGCAGTTCAGAAGCCATTACCTTTCCTTCCTCCTCCTCTGCTCATTTATGTTACCTCAGGCCCCTGTGGGGATTGAGTTTGTAACCCATTTTAAAGATTAAGAACACAATTAATGGTTGTGCTCAGTGAAAATGCTTATTAAAGCAGCTATTATCATTACTCACTAGTTAAGTTTGGTGCTGAGCCTGGCTGGAGTCCTACTACTTTATCATGCTCCTCCACTTTTCCCTTCACGGGCACTGGTTTCTGCTCTACAGTGAAAGAAAAGCCCACGGAACCATTCCTTTATCAAATGCCTATGGCCTAACCCAAACTGCCAACATTCCCACCATCATTCACCACAGGCATCAGCTCTCCAACCTCCAACATGCTGCACAGGCTGGCACAACCTCCCTCCCACTCGCAGGAGCCTAGGCCAGGGAGTTTATAAGACAAGCCATTCGGAGCGGGGAGGCCAAGTATTTTTTTTTTTTTTTTTTTTTTGAGACGGAATTTCGCTCTTGTTACCCAGGCTGGAGTGCAATGGCGCGATCTTGGCTCACTACAACCTCCACCTCCTGGGTTCAGGCAATTCTCCTGCCTCAGCCTCCTGAGCAGCTGGGATTACAGGCACGCGCCACCATGCCCAGCTAATTTTTTGTATTTTTAGTAGAGACGGGGTTTCACCATGTTGACCAGGATGCTCTCGATCTCTTGACCTCGCGATCCACCCGCCTCGGCCTCCCAAAGTGCTGGGATTACAGGCTTGAGCCACCGCACCCGGCCGCCAAGTATTTTTATAGGTAATCCACTTTCTAAACAACAACGGTGTACTTTAGGAGGCCAAGGTGGGCAGATCAGCTGAGGTCAGGAGTTTGAGACCTGCCCTGAAACCCCATCTCTACTAAAAATACAAAAAATTAGCCCAGCATTATGGCAGATGCCTGTAATTCCAGCTATTCAGGAGGCTGAGGCAGGAGAATTGCTTGAACCTGGGAGAGGTTGCAGTGACCCAAGATCGCACCATTGTATTCCAGCCTGGGTGACAACAGCAAAACTCTGTCTCAAATAAAATAAAATAAATAAATAATAACAATGGATAAAAATCATGAAAGGGAAAAAAATCTGTATATATCACTAGTTAAGAATGTAAAATTTTGATAACGAAACACCATAAACAAAGTTCAAATAGTAAGAAAACACTAACACATGCATAGAAAAATATACGGGGAGCTGCGGTGGCTCCGGCCAGTTGTCCTGGCGCTTGAGGAGGCGAGGCTATGAGTTCAAGGCCAACCTGAGCAACATAACAAGCGCTCATTGATTAACAAAAAAAAAAAAAGAAAGAGAAAAGAAAAATATACCAACAATAAAGACAAGTCATGTACATTTTCTAGTTTAAACCTGAAAAAACAACTTTGTAATTTTAATATGAAAATTACAAGATATTTGATATTTTCTATCAAATGACTAAAACTGTTACATTAAAATAATAGCACATAATATACTTGGTATATTGCAAGTGTTTCATTAAGTATTTGTTGTATGGGGAATGATGAAGTACATTAAAAGTTAGCTACTCCAGGCTGCTTGCGATGGCTCACACCTGTAATCCCAGCACTTTGGGAGGCCAAGGCAGGGAGAATCGCTTGAAGCTAGGAGTCTGAGACCAAGCTTGGGCAACACTACAAGACCCCATCTCTACAAAAAAAAAAAAAAAAAAAAGTAACCAGGCAAGGTGGTGTGTGCCTGAGGTCTCAGCAACATGGGAGGCCGAGGCAAGAGGATAGCATGACTTCAGGAAGTCAAGGCTGCAGTGACCTATGATCACACCATTGCACTTCAGCCTGGGTGACAGGCCCTGTCTCTTAAAAACAAAACAAAACAAAAAACAAACAAACAAACAAAACCACTAATAAAATGGCATCAAAAACATTTATGACAAAATTGGGGGAAATCAGGATGTAAGATTGTTTACAAAGTCTATGATGTCCACAATGTAAACAAGGCATGAGGAAGAAGCTCCTGGAACTAATAAACATTTACAGGAAGGATGCAAGACATGAAGGTAATATATAAAAGTTAACCATTCCTATATACCAGCAATGAACAATCTGAATTTGAAACTAAAAACACAATTTACATTAGCACTAGCAAAATAAAAGACAAGAACAGATTAAAAGGACAGAATAAAAATCCCAGAAATAGACCCACAAACACATAATCAACTGAACTTTGACAAAGGAGCAATCGCAATTCAATGGAGAAAAAATGGAATTTTTGATAAATAGTGCTGTAACAATTGGACAGTCACATGGAAAAACATGAATCTAGACACAGATCTTACACTTTTCACAAAAATTAACTCCAAGTGGATTTTGGACCTAATGTAAAACATCACATTGTGAAACTTTCAGATAACAATACAAGAAGAAATCTAGGTGACTTGGGTTTGGCAATGAGTTTTAGTTACGACACCAGCAGCACAATCCAGGACACAGCAAAAATGAGGAATTGAACTTCATTAAATTAAGAACGTGTACACTGTGAAAAAACATTAAGAGAATGAAAAGAGAAGCTATTGATTGGGATAAAATATTTACGAAACACATATGTGATAACTGGTATCCAAAATATACGAAGGATTCCTAAAATTCAACAATGAGAAAATAACCCAAATTAAAAATTGGCAAAAGATCTAAACAGACCGCTCACCATAGAAGACAGCAGATGGAAAATAAGTATATGAAAAGATGCTCTACATAATAGGCCATCAGGAATTGCAATAAAACAACATTGAAGGGGGAGAAAAAAATAGAAATACATAAATAAAATAAAACAACATGGAGATTCCACTACATATCTATTAGAATGGCCCCAAAACAAGTTTTTTTTTTCTTTGAGACAGAGTTTCACTCTTGTTGCCCAGGCTGGAGTGCAATGGCACAATCTTCATCTGCAACCTCTGCCTCCCAGGTTCAAGTGATTCTGCTGCCTTAGTCTCTTGAGTAGCTGGGGTTACAGGCATGTGCCACCATGCCCTGCTAATTTTGTATTTTTTTTTTAAGTAGAGACCGGGTTTCTCCAAGTTGGTCAGGCTGATCTCGAACTCCTGATCTCAGGTGATCTGCCTGCCTCGGCCTCCCAAAGCACTGGAATTACAGGCATGAGCCACTGCACCCGACCTAAAAAATGTTTTTAATAACAGTACCAAATACTACTAGCAAGGGTGCAGGGCAGCAGTAACTGGTGGGAATGCAAAATGGTACAGCCACCTGGAAGACAGCTGAGCAGTTCTTACAAAGCTAAACACAATTTAGTGTAAGATCCAGTTTATACCCACACAAACCTCACAAATGTTTATAAAGCAGCTTTTTTCATAATTGCAAAAAATCAGGCTGGGCGAGGTGACTCAGGCCTGTAATCCCAGCACTTTGGGAGGCCAAGGCAGCCAGATCACTTGAGGCCAGGAAGTCGAGACCAGCCTGGCCAACATAGCAAAACCTCGTCTCTACTAAAAATACCAAAATTAACCAGGTGTAGTGGTGCATGCCTGTAGTTCCAGCTACTTGGGGAGGCTGAGGCAGGAGAATCGCTGGAACCTGGGAGGCAGAAGTTGCAGTGAGTGGAGCTTGCATCACTGCACTCTAGCCTGGGCGACAGAGTGAGACCCTATCCCACAACAAAACAGAAGAGAATGACAATAACAATTGCCAAAGCCAGAAGCAAGCAAGATGTCCTTCAACAGGTGAGTGGAAAACAAACTGCTGTACATCTACACAACGGAATATTATTCATCACGAAAATAAAATGAGTTATCAAGCCACAAAAAGCCATGGAAAAATCTTAACTGCGTATCGTAGGTGAAAGAAGCCAATCTGAGAAGGTTACTTACTGTGTGAATCCAACTATATGACTTTCTGGAAAAGCAAAAACTATACACACAGTAAAAAATAGGTTGCTGGGAGTTCAGAATGGAGGTGGGGAAAATGGGCAGTAGAGAGGGATGAATAAGGGAAGCACAAGTTTAGGGCATGAAACTTTGGTTTGGTTTGGTCATCGTGGATGCATGGCATTTGCCTTTGTCAAAATCCGCAGAAATACACAACAACAACAACAATACGGACTTTGGCCAGGCATGGTGGCTCACGCCTGTAATCCCAGCACTTTCGGAGAGTGAGGCGGACGGATCACCTGAGGTTGGGAGTTTGAAGCCAGCCTGACCAATGTGGAGAAACCTCTTTTTCTTCCTTTTTTTTTTTTTTTTTTTTGAGATTAAGTTTCACTCTTGTTGCCCAGGCTGGAGTTCAGTGGTGCCATCTCGACTCACTGCAACCTCAGCCTCCCAGGTTCCAGCAGTTCTCCTGCCTCAGCCTCCTGAGTAGCTAGAACTACAGGCAGGTGCCACAGCACCCAGATAATTGAGAAACCCTGTTTCTACTAAAAATAAAAAAATTAGCCGGATGTGGTGGCACATGCCTGTAATCCCAGCTACTTGGGAGGCTGAGGCAGGGGAATCGCTGGAACCTGGGAGGCAGAAGTTGCAGTGAGCTGAGGTCGCATCCCTGCACTCTAGCCTGGGCAACAAGAGTGAAACGCTGTCTCAAAATAAATAAATAAAATAAAATACGGACTTTAATAATAATGTGTCAGTATTAGTTCGTGAATTGTAACAAATGTGCCACCCCAACACAAGATATTGATAATAGAGAAAGTTGACGTGGGATGGTGAACTCTCCATACAATCTGCTCAATTTAAATGGGCACGGTGCGCTCTTTTCCTCCCCGGCTGTCTAAGTATAGGCAGCCATCATGAACAACACAGTGACTATCCGCACTAGAAAGTTCATGACCGGGGAAAGTACATATCTGGGAGCAGCAGGCGGCTCCGCGCTTGCACTCCCGCTCCTCCGCCCGACCCCTCCTGCTGCAGCCCCAGGGCCCCTCGCTGCTGCCACCATGGACGCAATCAAGAAGAAGATGCAGATGCTGAAGCTCGACAAGGAGAACGCCTTGGATTGAGCTGAGCAGGCGGAGGCCGACAAGAAGGCGGCGGAAGACAGGAGCAAGCAGCTGGAATATGAGCTGGTGTCGCTGCAAAAGAAACTCAAGGGCACCGAAGATGACTGGACAAATACTCTGAGGCTCTCAAAGATGCCCAGGAGAAGCTGGAGCTGGCAGAGAAAAAGGCCACCGATGCTGAAGCTGACGTAGCTTCTCTGAACAGACACATCCAGCTGGTTGAGGAAGAGTTGGATCATGCCCAGGAGCGTCTGGCAATCGCTTTGCAGAAGCTGGAGGAAGCTGAGAAGGCAGCAGGTGAGAGTGAGAGAGGCATGAAAGTCATTGAAAGTCGAGCCCAAAAGGATGAAGAGAAAATGGAAATTCAGGAGATCCAACTGAAAGAGGCCAAGCACAATGCTGAGGATGCCGACCGCAAATATGAAGAGGTGGCCCGTATGCTCGTCATCATTGAGAACGACCTGGAACGTGCAGAAGAGCCGGCTGGGCTCTCAGAAGGCCAGGTCCGACGACTGGAAGAACAATTAAGAATAATGGATCAGACCTTGAAAGCATTAATGGCTGCAGAGGATAAGTACTCGCAGAAGGAAGACAAATATGAGGAAGAGATCAAGGTCCTTTCCGACAAGCTGAAGGAGGCTGAGACTCGGGCTGAGTTTGCGGAGAAGTCAGTAACTAAATTGGCGAAAAGCATTCATGACTTAGAAGAGAAAGTGGCTCATGCCAAAGAAGAAAACCTTAGTATGCATCAGATGCTGGATCAGACTTTACTAGAGTTAAACACCATGTGAAACCTCCTTAGCCGCGACCACATTCTTTCATTTTTTTTGTTTTGTTTTTAAACAACTGCTTACCCCTTAAATGCATTTTTATTTACTTTTACCACTGTCACAGAAACATCCACAAAATACCAGCTAGGTCAGGGGGTGGGGAAAACACACAAAAAGGCAAACCCATGTCAGGGTGATAATGGTTTAAATGTGCCATTTCCCAGGTTGATGTTGCCACACTTTGTAGAGTTTAGCAACACAGTATGCTTATTCAGCGTAGGAACCCTCACGAAAGCAGAAAAAGTTCCATTCAAAGTGCCAATGATAGAGTCAACAGGAAGATTAATGTTGGAAACACAAGGAGGTGTGGATTGGTGCTACTTTAAACGAAAGGTCCCCCTGTGGTCTTTTGTTCAATATTGTACAATGTAGAACTCTGTCCAATGCTAATTTATTTTGTCTTGAGTTTTACTATGAGATGAGACTGTGGATCCTGCATGCCTGAATTCACTGAAGCCTAGGGTCTGTAAGCCACGCTGCTCTTCTGAGACTTGCATTCCTTTCTGATTGGCACACGTGCAGCTCATGACAGTCCACAGGATAATAATCAATGTGGATTTCCACTCTTCAGTTCTTCATGTTAAAGAGAAAGATTTAGACACTACATAAAATTGGTAAAGGACATTTTCTGGAGAGTTATAACTATATGTAAACATTGTATAATGATATGGAATAAAATGCACATTGTAGGACCTTTTCTAAAAAAAGAAAAAAAAAAAGAAAGTTCATGACCAACCGACTACTTCAGAGGAAACATGGTCATTGATGTCCTTCACCCCGAGAAGGCAACAGTGCCTAAGACAGAAATTCGGCAAAAACTAGCCAAAATGTACAAGACCACACCGGATGTCATCTTTGTATCTGGATTCAGAACTCATTTTGGTGGTGGCAAGACAACTAGCTCTGGTATGATTTATGATTCCCTGGATTACGCAAAGAAAAATGAACCCAAACATAGACTTGCAAGACATGGCCTGTATGAGAAGAAAAAGACCTCAGGAAAGCAACGAAAGGAACACGAGAACAGAATGAAGAAAGTCAGGGGACTGCAAAGGCCAATGTCGGTGCTGGCAAAAAGTGAGCTGGAGACTGGGTCACAGCCAAAGGAGCCAAGGTGCTGCAATGATGTTATCTATGGCCGTTGTGGGTTTTTCACAAGAAGCTTATTAATAAACTAAAAACTTGTGTGTGTAAAAAAAAAATGGGCACAGTGTCTCACGCCTCTAATCCTAGCACTTTGGGAGGCCGAGGCGAGGGAATCTCTTGAGTCCAGGAGCTCAAGGCTAGCCCGGGCAACACAGGGAGACCTGTTTCTTTCTTTCTTTTTTTAAATATATTTTTCCCCGGACCCTTCCCCTACTTTTTTTTTTTTTTTTTTTGAGACAGCGTTTTGCTCTTGTTGCCCAGGCTAGTGTGCAATGACAAAATCTCAGTTCACCGCAATCTCTACCTCCCGGGTTCAAGCAATTCTCCTGCCTCAGCCTCCCGAGTAGCTGAGATTACAGGCATGCACCACCAGGCCAGGCTAATTTTGCATTTTTAGTAGAGACAGGGTTTCTCCATTTTGGTCAGGCTGGTCTTGAACTCCCGACCTCAGATGATCCTTCCGCCTTGACCTCCCGAAGTGCTGTGATTACAGGTGTGAGCCACCAAGCCTGGCCAGAGAGACTCTGTTTCTACAAAATATTAAAATTTTAGCAGGGCACAGTGGCACGTGCCTGTAGTCCCAGCTCATCGGGAGGCTGAGGTGGGAGAATTGCTTGAGCCCAGGAGTTCCAGGCTGTACAGCTCCAGGCCCCAGCCCTAGTCTATCAAATTCCAGTATCCCAGTACACTGCTCTGGGCATGAGTCTTTTGAGAGTGCGCGCCGGTCAGGCCTGGCATTTGCCGCTGCTTGGAAAGCACTGTGTGCAGCGGCTGCAGGTGTCATGATCACCATCAAGTATATTTGGGGCTCCTTCACCTATGCTGCTCTTTTGGTCAGTGGACAACTTATTTCTGGTGTGCTGAGGAGTGAAAAGGGTTTTCAGAAAGTGACCCTGCACCTTAGGCTATGTCATCTGTGCCTTTGCTGATGTCATCCTCGGCGCCAGCAGCCAGACCGGAGGATAGCAAATGCAAATGTCTAACAATAATTAACTCTCAGTAGCAACCTCAGCTTGGGGCTCCCCTTTCAAGGGCTTTCAGCAGCTCCCCCAGGCCCTCCTGCAGCCCCTTGTCACTGAGAGGCCTCTCCCACATCCAGAGATACAGGAGAATGCAGGGAAATGTGCATTTAGATGAAGGAAATCCACTGTCCCAAATGGCAAGTAGAGTGGTGTGATTTTGGTGAAGTTGCCGACATCCCTTTTGAGCAGTTACCATAAGAAGATAATTTGGATTAGGGACATCCTCCCCACTGACATCAGCATCTGGCCTCATTGCAGGGGGGTGAACTGTAAACCTCAGAGTTAGTGCAATGGTTTAGATTTTACCAAGTGTACTGCGGTGATTACATCTCCACTGCAGAGTGGAATGAGGAAGAAGAGGAGAAGCAGAAGCAGAACAGGAAAGACCTGTTCGCTGGTTCCCTGGGCAGAGGAGGGATGACCAGGGGAGACCCCCAGCAAACAGCCCCACAGTGCCAGGCACAGCTGGGGTTTTCCAGGGATGAGGCTGTGAGCAGCACCGCTTGATAATGACCTCAGTAAAGCTGGGGACAGGTGGCTTGGACAGACTCCAGGCGCCTGGCTGCCACTTCTTTTTTTTTTTTTTTTTAAGCCAGAGTCTTGCTCTGTCACCCAGGCTGGAGTGCAATGGTGTGATCTTGGCTCACCGTAACCTCCACCTCCCGGGTTCAAGCGATTCTCCTGCCTCAGCCTCCCGAGTAGCTGGGATTACAGGCTCATGCCACCATGACTGGCTAATTTTTTGTTTTTTAGTAGAGATGGGATTTCACCATGTTAGCCAGGATAGTCTCGATCTCCTGACTTGTGATCCACCCACCTCGGTCTCCCAAAGTGCTGGGATTAGAGGTGTGAGCCACCGTGTCCGGCGCTTGTTGCCACTTTTTCTTCGAGCTCATACAAATCCTCATCAAGAGGGAAGACAGAAAGTGTCAGTGAAGATGGCTGTGCTGGCATTCTGTAAGTGACAGTGGTCAAGCTCTAAGTTATGGATGGACACAGCAGGGGTCCTCTAAAAATCACCTCCTCTAAAAAATGGCTTAGCAATCCTAACAGATTGGCTGTGGAGACTCATTATGTCATGGGGACCTGGGAAGGCTGCCTGCTTCTCTGTGCCTGTGTCCCCAGCCACCTGGGAAAATGTGCTTCAGGAGGGAATCCAGGGAAGAAGGCTGTGCAAGGGCCAAATTATTGCACCATTTCCTGTCAATTCAGGAAAGATTTTCTTAATACTTCTTATTGCTCGGCGAATATTTTTGAGCCCCTCCTATAAGTCAGACGCTGCTCTGGGGCACAGGGTGATGGGCAAGGCAGACTAAGTCTCCCAGGGGCTAAGAATTTAGGCCCTTGCAGAGTATCTCCTCCACGTCATTGAGCTGCCACTGAGATATGTGTGGCCACGTTGCATCCTGTCTACATCCAGCAGGGTGGCCGTCTCGGCCTTTATAGAAGCAGATTGGGTGTGAAGACATTTCTTGTGAAAAACCAGCTTCCAGGCCTCCTTCCTGGGAGGAACTCTGTGAGGGCCACCCCCGGGGCCCCACACCACGTCCTGAGCAGATGCCTCTAATGATTCAAAGCTACCAAAAATACCGTCACAGGCCCCTTTCCTGCCACAGACGGCTAGGAGATCCCTTCTGGGTTTTTCTCTTTTTCTTTTTTCTTTCTCTGTGAAGTTTACTTAAAAAAACAAAAGGTCATTGTAAAACAGGGTATTTTGCTGTTTCTTCTAAAGCAGAAAGAGCTGCAGGTGCTCATAGCCAATTTCCCATTTCTGAAAAACCTCAGTTCCAGGCCTACCTTGAAGGGAGACACTTCCGGGAAGGGAGGTAAGTAGTCCTCTGAGGCCCCATCCACACACTGGCGCACCAGACCAACCAGCAGCGCTGCGCGGGGAGGACCTGCTCAGCAGGGCATGGCCAACAGCTCCAGGCGTCTGCATGTTAGCACCATGCCCCAGGCCTGCACTTGCTCGGTTTCAAGTCTGGCCTCAGCAGCCCCAGGTGACAAGAGCCCTGACTACAGCGGTGTGGAACCGAGCACCCGCATCCCCAGGCTTCCAGCCGCTAGATTCAAGTGCTGGGACTCCCAGCTCTCCCAGTCAGCCTGACTGAATTCTCAGTCCACAGCTGAGTAATGTACAGCCTCAGCTTTCTCTTCAGAAAAAATGGGTATAAACCACAGGATCCATCTCAAAGAAGCGCCATGAGGAATAAATAGCATAATGCATTTAGAGTGCTGAAGCCCCAGCGACTCTGGGGCAGCAGGGTGTGCTAGCAAGTTTCCATGGCATCCTGACCAGTCACAACCAAAATGGGATTTCCTGCGAACATTTTCACCCAAGCAGTAGGGTCAGGCAGGCAGAAGCCAGCCTGAAGTTTAAAACGGTCCCTCTTCAGCCAGGGCAGAGCGGGTGAGGCTCTGCGTAACCTGCGAAACCTGAGTAAGGCTTGTGGTTCAGCCGGACGGACAACTTCCCACTCCTTTCTGGGTGACCGAGTTCTTCCTGGGTGCTCCGTCACTCATTTCCTCATGACACCCATAGGCGGCAGCTTTTCCCTGTGGGGGTCCCTGGTCTTCAGGGCAAGTCCCACCCTCCCTGGCTAGAGCCCTGGAGGAGCACACATGATGGCACCAAGCTGCTCTGACCCTGCCAGGAGCCAAAACAATCTGTGGAACTCCAAGGGGCACCCCGGGCTCAGGGTCATCTCCCATGCCTTCCCTTCCCATCCCGAGGTCTGCAGAGCCGGTGGTCCTGGCTCAGCTGGACCCCAGTACAGATGGGGAAGCCTCTGACCTGCACCCAGAGCCTGCCTCCCAGGGCTTTTTCACCCCAGTGTCCTGGGAGGGGGCGGTGCAGATAGAGAGAGGCCAGAGGCTGCTGCTCAGGAGTGTGTGAGTCAAGCCTTGCTCGGGTGGTAGGGGCTAAGGTGGAGGTGCCCAGTGTCCAGGAGAAAGGGGAGGAGAGACTGGGAAACAAAACCCTTCCTGGGCTGCCAGTACCTCTCTATAGCTTTGGGCTATGCCAGGGGCCTCTGAAGTGAGTCAGCCCCTACAGAAAGCCCAGGGCTCTTCCACCTTCTTTTCACATTCTTTTTTAAAAAATTTTGCAGGTGTATATATACATGGGGTACATGAAATATTTTGATACAGACCTACGATGTATAATAATCGCATCAGGGTACATGGGGTATCCATCACCTCAAGAATTCATCATTTGTGTTATAAACAATCCAATTATACTATTCCAGTTATTTTAGGATGTACATAAATTATGTTATCAAACACTAGATCTTATTCAATCTACCATTTCACATTCTTATTGAGAGAGTATAGCCTCCTGAAGCCTACTGGTGCAGGAGGGATTCTGCAACCTTCCTGTGGCTTTTGTCACCCATGGAAAACTCCAAACCAGCTTGCCTATCAGGTGATGGGAACCAGGAGGATTACCGGCCTTGGGTCTGGAAATCCTATCCCATGTGGCTTCCTCCCTCTCTCCCTTCCTACTTCCCTCCCTTTCTCAATTCTTCCCTCCCTTACTT